GCGGTTCAGGAATGGCTTCAACATCATCGGTAAATCCATCTGTCAAATGAATCAAGCAGGAAATACACCAAGATGCTGAGTAAGAACACTGTCCTTCATTCTCTTAAGCATTTGATTAAACTCCCAATACATACATAGGATTTCTTCATTCAGATACGTACACCACACTGTATATATTTTGTGTTCATATCCTGTCTACTTGTCAGACGCGAAAACAGAAAGTTTGTGTGAACCTGTACATATATACACACACATATACGCTGTCTGAACCAGGAGCTTCGTCTTCGGTTCTTCCATGTAATGCTTTGTCAGCACAAAGATCATCCTCTATGTTATTGTCATAGTCTGTCGTAAGAGTTTGTGAAATTTTCTGATATTGTAAGGGCAAAACTGTCGATAGATATGTAGTCGTCATGTATTACCGTATTGTCGAGACATGTGTCGCTGAAAATGTTAATAATATTTGCGGGACTAAAGCCTCCCCCCATTCCTTCCAAGTCGTACAGATTCTACTAATGCATACTTGACACGTAAGCTGTGATTGCTAATTATCTCACTAATGTGCCCTTTGTTAGACTAATTATAATAATTAATTAGAATGGGTCTTAAGTTGATTACATGGGAATGTAATCACCATAGCCACCAAATTTGCTTTCTCCTCCTTAGAAAGCAACCCCGTTTTTTATTGAAAAAACATGGGAGGGAAGACTGGTTCGTCAGGAACACACAAATGGCAATCAATGACGCAAGTTTTCCTCATGAAGCAAGCAAACTTTCAATGACGACACAAAGCGGAAACCAATCAGGTAATTTCTCTGACTTTTTCCTTTGTCTCTCCATTCCCGTGGAAATCTGAAGCACTTCGCTTTCGTTTGAAATAATGTCGTAATTTCTCTGAAGAATCACTGCATTGTCGGATCGTGGAAGTCAAAGCCTTATCCTTTATTTGTTTTTAAAATCGTGGAGGCTCTACTTCTCCACGAAGGAGCCAAAGCGTTTGCCTTGTGAACCAATCTTATACTTTGGAAAGAACCCTACATGTTGGATACAGCAAATTTTCGAACTCTAAGCTTGTTGATTCGCTTGTTTGAGAAATTTCACCAGATGGGTCTGTGAAAAGTTTCCATCTTTCTTTTTTTGTTCCTCTCCGTTCGTTGATTCAAGTTTCAGGTTTTTCGATTCGAAGGAGACTTGTGGGTTATATGGAGAGTGTGGGAGATGCCTGTTACAGTGGCTATGGTGTCTCAGGTCCCGGACATGGAGGCAAAGGGTTTGGTTCCTGACACGATTCATGCAAGCAATACGGTCATGTCGGTGGCGGACAAGCCAGTTTCATCGGGGCTAATGGAGGATAAAATCTATGTAGCGGTGGGAAGAGACGTGGAGAGCAAATCCACTCTCATCTGGGCATTACAGAACACAGGAGGCAAAGAGTTCTGCATCTTCTACCTTCACGAGATGCTCCATTTTTCAACTAGTAAGATACCTTTACTGTTGTTTGTTTAAGCCATGAAAGCAGCAGAGATTGATCAAGATTCTCAGATACCAACAAGTTTCCTCTAGTCTGCAGTTTTCTTTTCTTTTTTTTATTCTTGTCTGAAATGTTTCATCGTCGTCCCATTGAAGCAGGCATGAAGCTACGGGATGAGCACAGAAACGAAAGGCAGAAAGCAGAGAGGTTCTTAGACAAGTACCTCAATATAAGCCGGCAAATGGGGGTAATGTTACGTTTACTTCTGCTTCTACTCCATATTATTACCTGTTTGTGATATTATCTGTATGATTTGATGGTTCGTCAAAGGTTTAGTTACTGAATTGTGATTTTTTAGGTCCGGGCAGAGAAGCTGTACATGGAGACAACCTCCATAGAGAAGGGCATAGTGGAAGTGATCTCCCAGCAAAGAGTTAGGAAGCTCGTCATGGGAGCAGCTTCAGACAGAAACTATTCCATGTAAGGCTGTAAGCTCGTGTTTGAATCTCTGGATAAGCTCTTTCTTAGCTACATGCTGGTTTGTTTCTTGTTACCATGAATGGTTATTCCGAGTATGAAATTCTTGATTGATTGAACTCCGAATTTCAGGAGAATGAGAGATGTGAAATCCAGGAAAGCCATCTTTGTTCGCCAACACGCACCTCCTACTTGTCATATATGGTTTACCTGCAATGGATACCTAATCTGTACAAGGTCTTTATGCTCATCTTTATGTTTCCTTTCACCTCCTGCCCATGAAATCCGAAATGGGACTGAATCATGATAAAAAAAATCATATGTATGGTATCATCATCATGAAATGCAGGGAAGCTGTAATGGATAACATCTATCTAGAATATGCATCTCCACATCAATCTGTTGAGCGACATGTTTCTCGAGTTCAAAGCACCAGTTCTGGCCAAGATTCAGTTAGCAGACAATCTGGCATAACCACAGGAAGTGAAAGAGCTCCCAGTTTCCCCGTACGCAGAGCAGCTTCTTGGTTCTGTTCTATCTCGTCTTGCATCTTTTCCATTGCTTGGGACTTGACAGTACAGATCGATTGTTCAACCATTGCAGGAGGGAGCCAAAGATGAAGCAGGTTATGATCAGATCCGAGTGGCTCTGGCAGAGGCTGAGAAATCAAAACAAGAAGCAGTCTTGGAGGCGAACCGACGCCAGAAAGCTGAAAAAGATGCAATTGATGCAACCACAAGGGTGAATGATAGTTCGTTGCACCTCTGAATATTTTTTTACTACATTTTCTGATCAAATTCTATTCATTTACTGGCTTTGTCTGATTCAATGGCCAACAATGGGTAGGCCAAACGATTGGAAAGGGAATATTCCGAGGAGTTGAAAAGAAGGAAAGAAGCCGAGATAGAAGCTGGGAAAGCAAAGGCAGAGCTTGGAAAGATAAGATCATTCTTTGACAACCGAATAGCCGAATCTGAGAGGAGGGCATCAAAACTGCAACACCAGTATAACTTAGCAGTGAGGGCATTGCAGAGGTTCATGAAAGAACGAGATGAGCTGCAGGCAGAACTCAATAAAGCTGAAGGGCTGACGAGGAGAAACCGGGCAGAGCCCCCTCAGTGTTTCTTCTGCCCCATTCTAAAGGTAAAGAGACAGAAGATCTCTGGTTAGAAATCTTGATTCTGAAACAAGGAGAAAGATCTCAGATTCTGTTCTGTTGCAGGAAATCATGGAGGATCCACAAGTAGCAGCAGATGGATTCACGTACGAGGCAGAGGCTATAAGACAATGGCTCGAGAGAGGACACGACACTTCGCCCATGACCAATACAAGGCTTCCACACACTGGACTTGTCCCGAACCTTGCTCTTCGGTCCGCTATCCAAGAATGGCTTCAACTAAGACAGACCAAGGAAGTAATCTCCCAGACATAATATGCAATATAAAACATACTGTATATACACATATATATACACATATTGTTGGATATATTTGTAACGAGAGGGCCTATATGTATGTTATCCCCTCGTGGGTGCTGTCGCTGTAAAAAGTCGTGTGGTTGGACACGTGTCCTGCTATGAATGGTTCATGTATCTTTTCTGTATGGTTACGCGTAAGCAAGGATAAGAAGAGACTTGTGCGTCAAGTAAACAAGGAGATAGATGAGGAAGAGGACACGAGTGAAGTAGAAATGTTCTGTTTTTATTCTTTTTCACGGCTAAGTAAAAAAAAGCACCATACAAAAAAAATCCAAACTCTAAAGGAACCAGCCTACATAAAATACTTCCTTTTCCCCCTGCATTCTCAAAAGGCTACAAAGAAAAAAGGGTTTCATCATTAACCAACAAAACTGCCTCCTACCCTCAAAAAAAGGAACAAGAAAAGAGAGACAACAAAATATTACAGAAGAGGTCACGCCGGTAAAAGCCCAGAAGAATCACCATTGAAACCACTCTCTTTGGCCGCACTCTGATCGGACCAGAACCTGTTTCAGCCTTTGGCCGACCAACGATGTTCTTTGTTCCTATATTTATTCGTGTCCTGCTGC